CGGATTAGGATTGTGAGAAGGGTTGTGTATGGAGGTCTAGGGGTTTGCTGGTCTTCTGTCATGGGGTTTTGCGCTAAAGAACGGAATCGTGGTAAGGGTTACCAGGGGTCAAGCGGCTCTCAGGGTTTTTTCCGGCTTGTTTAGGGCTTCATTTCTATTGTTGTGTTGTTCTGAATTAGACTGTAGGGTTACATCCAGGTTACATCGAAATGGCTGAAGCAGCTACGGCTCGTCATATCTTTACCATGCAGTGCAAGCAGTTGCCATCGAACTCGTCTGCTGTGGCGCTCTTTCGGAAACTTGTGTGTTTCGTGTTGTTTGCAAACCATGGGGAGATGCGGCCGCTTCCTAAACCACCCGACCTTGTCATCAGCTGTTTAGCTTCTGCAACCGCGGAGAATCTGATTCAGACAGGAGGCTGCCGAGGTCGTATAGCCCAACAGGCTATAGCAAAGCGTTCCAATTTGTTCCCGACAACAACCTTTAATTTTGGTGGAATTGACAGCATATACCAGGCTACTTCAACATGTCTGAAGTTGCAGAACTCTATACGGCCTGTCGCTGACCCATTTCTGCTGCACGCACACACGTCACGCCACATCCGGCCCATCAGAGCACTTGGCCCCAGAAGTTGAGGTGATCCACAGTGTTTTGCAGAGTCTAGGACATCTTCAGGGTAGTTACCGTTATAGGAGCCTTACAGAAGGCTTATATACCTCATGGAAGCCTTATAGAAGCCCTATACCCTAAACTCCCCACCTGTAGTTTCCTTTAGAACAGAGAGCCACCACCATGTCAGGGTTACTGGCTGGGCTCAGCACTGGTAGTAGGAGCCGAATCGGATCGACATCGAAAAAAGTGAGACATTGTCTCAACTTGTAGATTTCTCTGCTTTGGGAGTCTCCATGATTCCGTTAAATCCTGCACTTTGAACGGGCCAAACCAGGTAAACCCTGAACCCGAACCCCCCGAAACCTCCATCAATACCTAACCTTTGATCCGTCAAGCGAAGAGTAAGCCACCCCCAAAGCCGAGGACCCTGTGAAGATAGTTTTACAAGGCTCCGTAGGGTTAATGGGTTTGAAGGACCAGGGTCTAAGGAGTTTAGCGTTGCGGGTTTGGAGTTTTCAGGAGCAAGGTTGCAAATGGTTAGGACAGTCACAGGGTGCGAGATGCGTCCAGGCGAAGTAGATGCCATCCTCGCAGCCGCGGAGAAGGGGCAACCAGCCACTGCATCCGAATTTTTGGTGGCATCTGTGGCAAGTAGCGGAGGTGAGGTGAGGGTTGATTGCAGTGTTCCGAAAAGCCTCGCATCTTTTGATGGAGTCTTTTCTTTCCAAAGTCCAGAACCCCACGTCTGAATCATTCGGCACCGGACCTGCTTAAATCAGTGCCATCCACGATCATCGTGTGCGTGTGCTTTCTGAACCCAGGATTCCCGTCTTTGAGACTGCTTACCGTTATCAGTGGGTCGGAGTTTTGTGACAAGTGAGGTCTTACTAAGGCTAGCCGCTAGCAGCTTTTATTTAGGAAACGCAGGAAATGGCTTGGCTCACGCCGTTCTGTCGGCACTACACCTTGGTCTACCTTCTCCCTTCTTCCTTGCTGCCGTCTGGAGACTCCTAGGTCGTGAGGAAGTGAGGCGGTTTAGGGTTTAGGGTTTAGGGTTTAGGGGTTTAGGGTTTAGGGGTTTAGGGTTTAGGCCTACCAGAACTTTGCACTAAGGTGCCCGTCTTCACGAAGGATGCCTCCAAAAGCAAGGCGGCAACTTCCGAGGCTTTCCTCCGCAAGAAGGAGCTGATTCTTCGAACGCCATTGCGCAAGTTGGGGTGGAGGCATTGACCGGGCCCTCCGTTGAGTCTTCGCTAGGCAAGGATCTACAGCTTGCAGGGCAGCTGGAACAGTCTTTGTTTCATTCACTGCTGCCTTTGCACGTGCCTGTATGCAAATGCTGTGACAGACGAGCAGGAGGAGGGAAATGCATTGTTCAAGGCTGGCGACTACCTCAAGGCCATATGCGACATCCGCACCGCCTTGCCATCTGCATAGACCGTCCTGGTAGAGCCTCACATTGACACAGATCAACTCAATTCAAGACTTCAGCCGGCAGCACCGCTTTGCTATTCCAGTTTCGGCCACTGTATGGCAAGGCCTCCCACTGAACCTTCACTTTTCAACTGGTATCGCAGGCTGGTCTTGGGGCCAGGGTTTCAAGCTGTGCATCCCAATTTGAGTAGATGGTGACCAAAGCTTCGGCTTTTTTCTTCCATGCCGGACCTTCCACACACTCCTCTTGTTTGTGTCTGTGGAGCCCCCCGATGCCCGCGTCTCAGAAACAAAAGTCTGAAAATGAATGCTAATAGCTTACTACCAGTAAGACGTCTTGGGATTAGACAAGTTGCTTGAGACAGTCGAAACAAAATGAAAAAAACTGGAAGCACTGGCTTCCCTCAACTGACCAGTTAAATCGAAACTGATTCCCGAAGTCTTGACTTCTGCTGTTGCTACCCGAAGAGTGTCTAGGCAAGTCCTGCGAAAACGATATAGAAATACCCAAAACCTTGCTCTATCTTACGCTCCTGTACCATGTCCTGAAGACTCCGAGAGCCCTCTCGAAGGCTATCCGGGCCTATGACGCCGCGCTCGCAGAACCTTGTGGCGATGGAGATGCCTCGATCGCCCAGAGCAATGCTGCGCAGGCCCGCGTTTCAGAGCTTTGGGTAGTGGTCGTTCGTGCGAGTTCGTCAGTCCGTATGGCGAGGTTTGGAAATCATTGCAGGTTAGGGCAGAAGCTCCGCTTGATCCGAGCCTAACTCCGAGATTCAGGTTTCAAGCTCCTCTTCGCATTGACTATATGGATAGAGCTCTAAATTAGGGCCCCAATTTAGGTCCCCAATATAGAATATAGTATTATAAAGGACCCTAAAAGGGGCTCTATGCCTCGCCTGGATTGTCCGAGTGTGAGCGCCGAAAAGGGGCTCTAATTTGGAGAACTACCCATATAAACTATTCGATAATCAGGGTTTTGAGTTCCCCTGCCACTGCCCCGGAGAAGAATGGGAACATGTGTACACGAGTGCGACGAGGGGCCCAATTGGGGGCTTGTCTTGCCCGTTTCTTCCTGAGATTAAATGCCGTCGAGCCTTTCAGTCTCTGAAAGAGTCATAGGAAGTAAGTAAATCCTAGTATAGAAACCCTACATTCTACAACAGAGGTACTTTGGGCCACTTGGGTCTTCCAGTTTTCACGTAGGAAACATGGTTCTCCTGTCCTGGAGGCACTGCTGAACCTTGCCGGCGAGGTGAGGGGATTCTGTTGGCCTGAATAACTAGCACTAGCACCGTTACTAGGATTCCTTTCTCGCCCCTATCGAATTAGAGTATGATCTCCTCCAAAGCCCTACTCTAATCATTAATGCTATTACTTTTCAGATTCTCAAATACCTGAGCACTTGGATTTCAGAGAACCAGCATTGCCTCGTCTCGGGGTCCTTTTAATCAGGAGCCCACCATTTCGGATCTGTACAGAAGTCCACTCGGCTATGGCATGTGATCCAGTCTTCTACATGGATGTTTTACAACATGGTGGTGGGTGCTTTTATGTTGCTGCCCTTAAAGACAGGGGTTGGCTATTCGCTGCCTTTACATCAGGGTCTTCTATGTCTGGCACTCCCATGCCCTGGCGTGCCCAAATTTCTGGTTCAGGCCTCGTCCGCAACTGCACACTTCGGAATCCGTTTTTAGGGAAACAGGATGCACGGCATCAGAACTTCTATATACGACAACATTTTGCAGTTCCATGCTCCTCCCTCTCTCATAAGCTCAGTGGAAGTGGACTCAATTCACAAAATGGGTGTGGACATTGAACAGTTTAGGGCAGCCTTAGGAACAGAACAAGGCTAGACTCATAGTTCCAGCAGTGAAATCTCTCTTCGAAACAGGCCACGGCGTCAGAACCAAGTTCGTGGGCGCATTGCGTAAGTGTTTATGCAGAGTTTTCTTTTAACCCCATAGTCTCCACAGCCGATGCTGTGCCAATACTCCTAAGCCCCCACAGTAAATAAACCCTATAGCCCGGAAACCTTAGCCCTGCCATATGGGTTTTGTCCTTGCGAAGTAGGAGGCAAAAAGACCTGAACAATACACTCTAGTTCAATCGTTTGCCACCTTGAGGGCCGAACCAAGCCGAAGCACATCAAACTCATGCGAAGCCGGACCGTGATGCGTTGAATTCTGTGCTTAAACGCCACGCAGCACCGACTTGAAACCCTAAGCCGCAAACCCCAGATGCAGGCTTCTGGTGAAGCAGGGCGCGCAGCAGCCGCCGAAGCCCTGCGCCGGGCACGGGAGGTCAGGTCCGGAATCTCTGTCGTCGTGTTTTACCACCACTAGGTTTTGCAAAAAGGGTTCCTGGCCTCGTGGAAAGCCTGTGGCAAAAAAGGGCTCCTGGCATATGCATAGACCAGGCGTAAAAAGGTTTAGGGTTGCTGTCCCTGCTTGGACGACGACCTGGCGAAGCAGCAGCAGGCGGTAGCCGGAGCAACACTAAAAAAATAGCAACCACTACCAGTCACTACCACCGCCACCACCAGCCCGATGACGTTGACCAGGATTGCAGGGGTACCTCGTCGACTTCTTCTCTGCAATTTGGTTCTTGTTCCATGCATGCTGCTCCCCCTGCTGCTGCTGTGATCGATGCAGCTCCTGTTGTGGATTCGTTGGTGCGCATATGCATGCATGCATACACGAACAAGTGCCTTTCTGTGCCTTTGCACACATCAGCGCATGGACATTCTGTGCGGTCGTATCCCAAATTAAAGAACTGGTCACGTTGATTCATCTGCGCTGTTTCGCAAGAGTTGCTCAGTCTGCCAGGCTATCTCCAAGGATAGCACCAACGCCAAGGCGGAATCTGTGTCGTGAATCTTTCCGGCAAGCAACTAGGACGAAGGGCAGAAAGGCTCGACGGCCTGCCGTGAAGCCTTTGTTCTCCGTCTGCAGGCCTTCGCCAGGTGTGCTGCTGCCTGCGATGTACTCGGTGAAGCGGAGGCAGCAGGATTTTCTGTCCGACTTTCTTTTAGTTGCCTCAGTTCTGCATTTGTGTAGGGTTTCGGCTGCCCTTGCGCATGCTGAGCAATGCCCGGAAGTGGTAAGAGCCCAAAATACTGCGATATCTTATCCAACTCGGTAGAGGCCGCAGCCGAATTCCGCGGTCATGCCGCGAGGTGTGAGGCCGCGGCACAGGCCCGAATTTCGACTTTGTGATGTGCAGCTTTTTCATGGTGTAGGTAGGCATCTTGGAGTGGACATCAGGGCTAGGGCATGAGTTTTTAGGGTTTCACAGAACTTTGGGGTCAGAGTTGCGAAGAAGTGTCCTGTGCAAAGTCTTCCTCGTAGTTCTCCGACAAGTTTGGTTGGTTCATGCGTTTGGGGTGCAGACGTTGTGGTATTCATGCTATTGGGTTCAGCACGGGCCGCTTGTCACCATATTGGGGCAACGTGCTACAGAACGTTACGATATCTATCCTATGATCTCCTCTAGCCGACTTAATTGCGTCCGACTTGAAGGTCATTTTGATCAGTTGCATAGCATTCCATATGTACAATTCACATTCTGTGCTGTCTCGTAAGGTTTAGTCTATTCTCCAGTATGTTAAGTAGCTTCCACATGCGCACGCACATAAACTGGAGAGCACGCGCATATATAAATCAGCATGTATACGGCGATCTGTACACGCGTACATTCGTGCACATGTACGTACGTGATTAGGCAGGCAGGCAGGAAGGTAGGCGTGCGGGTGGGCAATTAGGCAGGTAGATAGCAAGGTATGTACCTGTACATCTATCTCTCGCTCTCTCTCCGTCTCTCTCTCTCTCTCTCTCTCTGTGTTCTTCTGTAAATATGTGTACTGCACATTAGATACGAAGCATTCTGTACTGTCCAAGCATCGTTTTTTTCGCACCGTGGACAAATTATGTTGATCGTTGCTTCGACTATTGACACCACTGCTGCTGCCCCCAGCTGCTCCTGCCACTGGCTACTCCTGCTGCTGCTGCTGCTGCCGCTACTACTACTACTACTACTACTACTACTACTGCTACTGCTACTGCTACTGCTACTGCTACCACTGCTACTACTGCTACTACTGCTACTACTCCTACGGCTGCGACTACCACTGCCACTACGACTACGAGGACAGCTACTACTACCACTACTACTACTACTACTACTACCACCACTACCACTACTACTACCACTACCACCGCCACCGCTTCTACTTGTCTATGCAGCAGTTTTCCGAACGAGCCTATCATGACGGTATTGAGGTGATGATGACGATGGTGATGACAGCGAGTAAGTGTATGTGGTTGGGTGCATGCACAAATCTTGCTACATTTGTAGGCGTCTGCATGTTTCGGCTGCAGGCCACGAGGAATCAGCGGAAGGCCGAGGAAGAGCAGAGGCATCTACAGCCAACACCAGATGGGGACGTTAAAGCACCTGCCGACCCAGCTCGCCCATTCAGTGTGTGACAGAGTCTGGTCCAAGAGGTAGAGTCACTACCCCACACTCGCATTGCCGCTAGGCAAGAGGCCAAACGTCAGCAGCGGGAGAAGCTGGCTGCTGCCCAGGAGGCCATTACGCAGGTCATTAGGTCCCCTGGGGACCAAGGGTCGTTTTCTCATACAGCTTCTTCCACTACCGTTTGTGCAGGTTAGGTCTGGGGCTCTTTGAATCCCAAAGTCGGGATTTCTGACTTCCGTCGGCGCTACTTCTCTCGACGCTAACCACTGGCCTGGAACATTGCCCTAGCATCGAGATCGTTACACTTACAGCTTCCATACAAAACAAGTATAAGCCTAAGAAAAGTGCTGTCTGATCAACCTGCTGCCTTCTCTTTCAACATAACCAGTGGGATTGACCAACATATCTTGCCAAACTGAGCTGGAGCATGTTCGCGATTGCGCATACAAATTATTATTGATGTGGCTGCGGCCTTTCTTCTGTGAGGACGGCATTTACTCTCACCACAGCGCGGGCAACACTTCACTGTATCTGCTGTGGTAGTTTTGTTTTGTAGTTTTTTTTTTTTT